GAAAGCCTGCGCTAAGGCCACGCATCTGACGATCTTCAACGAGTGAAGCTAGAAGTCTGGACAACGCTACCAACGTCAGCTCAGCCTGAGATGTCCCAAAAGGAGCCTCTAAGATTCTCCACACAGAAGCGGATTGAAGCGTTCTCAAGAACCCTACAGATGCCGCAGATATGGGTCGTCATCACAGTTGGACTTAGACTCACATCGGGAACCTGGGAGCAAAGCAGGCACTCCACATCTCACAGAGGGGAGATTACGTCTATCAGCCTTCGTTAAGGCCTAGAGAGATATCTCAAGATTCCAGGAGGAATACACAGTCACACCAGGACCGTTCACCTGCACGCAGCTTTAAAAACAGATCTACATGGAGAGTCTCACGTCATTATGGATCTTCAGATAGGGAAATGTCCAACTTCACCGTCTGAAGTTAGAAGTCTGGAGAACTCTACTAACGTCAGCTCAACATAGCAGACCCCTCCAATGACAGTCGCCCTGCGCAAAGGAATATTAGCTATACAAGCTCTCTCAGATGAAGGCCTGCACGAACGGTTAAGTTCGCGAAGATCTTTACCGTCAGAAGTAGTTAGAGGCAGTTAAAAGCCTGGAGGATTCAATGAACGCCAGCTTAGCGTTAGCAGTCCATGACGGAGCCTCCACGCTGTTTCAGCGTCTCAGCAGGAAGGATTCTAACACAGAAGTAGATCCAGTTGTTCTCAAGGATTCTACGGACTGCACAGATACGGATCTTCCAACTGGGACCTTCATAAACCTGCGCACAGGCACTCACGGGGAGGATTATAATCAGAGTCAGCATGTCCCGCTGTTCAACGATAGCAGATTTCCCCTGCATCATACGGAGCCCTCCATGATACATCAGGGTTTGAGATTACAAGATCATCAGTGAATCCTGTAATAGATCTTCAAGATGGAAGAAAAGAAGATAACACAACTGGACACTACAACTAGATGTTGGTTATATTGGATCAACGCGTGGCTGAAGGAAGAGATGCAAACCTGAAGTAACAATGTCAGAAAACATCCGATGTAACACTGAAGATGAATTTTCATCACATGAGCTTACAAGATTTTAAGGGGACAGTTAGCAGTATTGTCGCAGTTCCTCAGCGAGACATCGGTAACGGTCAACTTTATAGAATATCTGTATGAGATGACGACTGCAGTAAAGATTATAAAGTTAAAGAATACAGTCACAACAGACAGGGAACAGTCTGCTTACATCAGTATTACGCGACAAAGTTTCGCGCGCTTCCACTCAGCCATCAAGATACGTGTGCATTCGTGTAACTCTGGCACAAGCCGAACAGAGAGGTTATGGACAAGGCCGTGTTGACAAAGAAATCAACAACTGCACAAGATTCCACGAGGATCATTTATCTGCAACACCAGTGACGTCACAGTCACGTGCCAGGAAGTCGTCTACAGTTGTAAAAAACTCTTTCAACGTGGGAAAGGCTCCATTTACACTCCAGTTAGCAGGGTACAGCGTGGTTCGACTATCTTCAAGGGTCATAGAGGACTTCCCCTGTCAGCAGATTTAATATTGGTTATCTTGGGACTTGCAGCGACAAGCTTGAGACGGTTTCTGCTCGTGGCAGCCGGTCGACTATAAATAGATTTTTCACATCAATGGCAGTCCCAGTACATCATAGATTTTTGCTGATCTAGAGACGACGTATTATGCATCATCGCTTCACATTGTTCGGTTTCTGGTGACAACATCTTCATAACTTATTACCGGAAGATTGATGAGGCAATCTTCAAGCCATGATTCTAGAATCGATCGTCTCTCCGCTTCCATGATGGAGATGACAAGGGTTCCTAGATCCACTTAGCTACAACGTAGGACATGATTGTAAGATGGCTGGTAATCTCCTATTCGGAGTTGGAACCAAAACAGGATCTTCAAGTTCCGGGAATGTGGCTCATCACACCACAGAATCAGACGGTCGTCCAAGAGGATCGTTGGTCAGATACAACATATGATATCTCAAGCAATTGTCTCTCCATTGACACTACATGCTTGGCAAAGCATGCTTGGTCTACTCACCTTAGCTCAAGACATGACTCGCAGAGGGAGATTACAGCTACAATATTTGTGTACACCCATCTCGACAGTTTGGATCCACTGATACAACGGACATTCTGAAACCATAACTTTATGTCGGACTCAGAAGTCGAATGTTTGCGGAGGAACCATTTTGTTAGAGCTGGCTTGCAACACTCATCTCTACATGAATGCATCACTACAAGGATGGGTTGCTCACCTCGACAACGAAGTGGCAGCAGGAAAGTGGTCGAGTCAGGATCAAATTCTACACACCAAGCAAGCTCACGGGAATCAGGCATTGTTCCAGCTACACGGGTGGAGCGTATCAAAGATTGCCTGAAGACTAGAGGGTACTCCGCCAGAGCAGCGAAAGCAGTGACACTAGCTCTACACAGATCAACTCGCAACTTGTACGACAACAAGTGACAGAGATTTGAACAGTATGCAACGAGGAAAGGTTTTAAAGAGGTAAAAGCAATCCATCCTCTAGTGGCAGAATACCTGTGTCATCTGCGACAGACTAGACACTTAAAAGGTTCAACCTGGCTGCGCTCAGCACAGTAATCACCATGAAGACAGGTGTCAAGCTGACCAAAGTACCAGAGATACTGGCACTACTACGCTCCTTCAAGTTGGAAGACCAACAAAAGTATTTCAAGGCTCCTGCCTGCAATCTCAACTTCTCACTAGTGATGCCTACGAGCCTCTAAAATGGACATCCTTTGAACTACTGACTCAGAAAATGCTGTTCCTGATCGCCCTAGCAACAGCAGCACGGAAGTCAGAAATACATGCTCTGGACTTCGAACGAACACGATTTAAATCAAGACATCGTACATCTAGGACTAAGATGGGATTTTATTGCCTGGAAACAACTGCCCGGCCAGCCTGACAGACAGTTCCACATCCCAGCACTCTCTACAGTCCTTGGACCACAGGATACAGAGGATCTATCCCTATGCCCTGTCAGAGCACTAAAAGTCTACCTACAAAGGACAAAAACAAGGAGACGAAAATTCAAGCGCCTATTCATCCCCTTATCTACTGAGACGCCCACGGAAGTGTCACGGACAACGATATCGATATGAATGAGAGCCGTTATACTAAGGGCCTACAAAGCAGCGGGACTTGAGCCTCCACGAGCCTTCAATGCCCACGAAGTCAGAGCCTTGGCGTATACACATGCTCTTTTGAAACTGCTCGATTACAACAATAATGGAGGGCTGCTTTTGGAAATCGGACACAGTGTTTGCCAACCACTACCTCAGAGACATTACCACCGAAGACGTCTCAGACATTCACCAGTTTGGGTCACTTGTTATAGCACAACAACTAATGGTTCAACAAAGGCGTTGAGAAAAATATCACCCTTTTGATCACGTGACTTATGAAAACCAGCGCTCTGGAGAGCAAATGGTTAAAGTCCATGCACACGTCTAGGACAGACCAGCATGAGTGATAGACCCTGTACTTGTATAGGACATACACGTACATGAACAAGGGTCGCATCTCCACTTGTCCACTATCATTCACAAGGACAAGCATTTAGCATGAGTCAGGATAAGTATAAAATTTTAATTTTAGTCAGAAAATTACATTTTTCTTCAGTTTTAACTGCAGATTTTTTTGCGGAATTTTGAAATATGGGGTGCAGATTTTACTTATATTTGCCATGGAATTCTTAAAAAATTGTCGCAGAATCCAGAAGGGACTGAACTATGTGAGGCAGTGTGAACAGTTCACACATAGTCTGACAGGCACTATGGAGGGAAGTCAGAGAAGTCAGACTGACACTTGACCAGCAGAGCGCCTGGATAGGCTGGTCAGTGTTCGTCCCTCTGTGTCCATGGCGTGCCTCCTGCTGGTCTGTCCGCGCTCTTCACGTTGTCTTTTTGCGGTCTTCCCCTATCCTACCTGCTCAGCGGATGCATGACAAACTGCCTGTGTAATTTTACTTCCGTCAAATATTGCCACCCTATTGTAATACTGTCATTGTAATGACTTTGCAGTAATTTGTATTAATATGAAAACGGTCATAAGTTTATCATACACCTGTTCCCTGTAATATGTGTCTTGTTGCTTTCGCGCTGAATCCTCCTGTGTTTGGAGGGGGCGGTTGGGAAGTCTAGTGGTTAAAGCGTTGGCTCGTCACGCCGAAGACCCGGGTTCGAATCCCCACATGGGTAAAATGTGTGAGGCCCATTTCTGGTGTCCCCCGCCGTGATGTTGCTGGAATATTGCTAAAAAGCGGCGTAAAACCAAACTCAGTCAGTCAGTCAGTCCTGTGTTTGGATTTCTGGGTTAACTGATTGCTTAACTTTGGAGGTCAATATACAACACTGATCACATAGTAAACATGACTTTATGTGATAGAGCTCTTGGTTAATCTTGTAGATTTATGCTAATCAGCTGAAGCATGTTCTTCTGAAGTTGAGAGCAAGTCTGTACTCAACAAAGAGATATACTAGTATTCAAGAAGCACTATCTGCTGACTCGCACAGTTTTGGTGTCTGTTTGGATGGCACCCGGAGCATCAATTCAAACCTTAGCATCGTTAAGGATGAGACCATTACATATTAGTTGATGATGATTTCGAGATTTTACTTGCACTTTCCAACATGTGTTTCACAAACAGGCCTGCCAGGCCATTTACCATGTTCAGTGTTAGATCGAAAGAGGGGTGAACATCACAGAAAGAGAGACCAACCTGAAGGGGTGGGTTACATATTGAATTTTTATGTGAATTTTGAATTTTGGAAATTTACCAGAAAATATGTTGGGGGTAGAAGTATGGGGTAGTTTGGTAGGGTTAAATCTTTTTTAGATAATGTCACTACTTTATGGTCATACTGTAGTTGTGCTCTACTTTCCAGTGTTAAATGTCCATATAATAGTCAGATGTCAGTGTTTATGATGTGCGTTATGTTCGCAGGTTTCGCAGGTGGGACATTTTACTGTGTTGCGATAAAATAAAGAGCACTTGGTGTACGGTTGAGGATGTTGTCAACTTTGGTAGTAGCAATTCCCATTGTGGTGACCTTGGCAGCTGCCATCTTCTTAATTCACCGCAGTTGGCAGCACCGTCCACAGCCTGACTCAGGATATCAACCAGGTGAGAGCTTGTCAAGGTGATTGTAATATTGTACCAGTGATGTAACATTATTGGTGATTGTGACGTCGACACTGAGAGTGATTGTGATTGAGCATGAATGTGGTGGAGAGTAATTGTGACACTGAGAGTGATTGTGATGGTGACACTGTGAGTGATTGTGATGGGGAGGTATTGTGACACTGAGAGTGATTGTGCCACTGTGATTGATTGTTACACTGAGAGTGATTGTGACACTGTGATTGATTGTTACACTGAGAGTGATTGTGACACTGTGATTGATTGTTACACTGAGAGTGATTGTGATGGAGAATGATGGTGACACTGTGAGTGGTTGTGATGGAGAGTTATTGTGACCAGGTCAGTGATTGTGGTGGAGAGTTATTGTGACACTGAGAGTGATTATGATACAGAGAGTGATTATGATAGAGAGTGATTGTGATGAAGAGTGATTGTGACAATGTCAGTGATTGCGACCCTGTCAGGGATTGTGATGGAGAGTTATTGTGACACTGTCAGTGACTGACACTGTGAGCGATTGTGATGAAAAGTGATTGTAATGGTTAGAGTGACCTCAATAGTGAGAGAGGTTGTAACAATGAGAGTTGACACAGTGACACAATGTCTGACTATCCATAGTTTAAATCACTTTAAACAACACTACCATCACAACATTTTACCTTGGACCCCAAGGATCTGTACTTTTTTGGACAACCCCAGAGTAATTGTTCTGTCATGGTAACAGGGATTGTAATGGTTAGAACGATTGTTGTGCTTAGAGGGATTATTGTGGTTAGAGATTGTTGTGGTTAGTGGGATTGCCCCATCCCCCCGAGTTGCTCAATGGGTTACAGGCTCCATGCCCTCGAAGAAATGGAGTAGTCAAGTGGTCTACTGGCCATAATATGTTTCTTCTCTACAGGTCATCACCCTGATGACTACCCTGATGACTACCCTGATGACTACCCTGATGACAACCCTGGTGACAGCCCTGATCACAACCCTGATGACTACCCTGATGACAACCCTGGTGACAGCCCTGATCACAACCCTGATGACTACCCTGATGACTACCCTGATGACAACCCTGGTGACAGCCCTGATCACAACCCTGATGACTACCCTGATAACAGCACTGATGACAACAAGACTTGCCGAGCTCGTCATCGCCGTCGATGACACGGATTGTGAAAGTCAATATGCAAACATGTCTGACGCCTAGTGTGGAAGGGGCCCAGACATCAGCAATGAGTGCACTGTTTGTTTCGCAAATGAGGGCAATGTAAAGTTATATCCCTTCTCACACACCAATGTGTGTATAGACTGTGTGAACAAGATCATCACTGACGTGGACCGGAGCTGCAGGAGCTACATACAGGCATATGCCGTGGTTGTCGGCAGCTGAGCACCTAGATCGACATGAAGCATTGTCAGCTGATTATGTGCAGACTCTATTCCCTACCTGACAAATTTTACCATTTTGTTTGTTTTTTTAAAATAATTTTTTATTTTTGATTCTCCATACATCCAGGTCATACAGTTCATTACATAACGGGTTGGTATAATCACGATTCGCAAATATATACAAAGTCGATTTACAGGCAAAATGAATAGGTACTTGAAAATATAATAGCAGTACATTATATATAGCGCTAGGTTAACAGAACAGGTAGTGACATAGTGACCAAAATTTTGTGAAGCTGTCATATTTGCAATTTGAATAGGCATTCAAACGTTCAGCATAATATGTTGTCTTTACGTCTTCTATAATGTAGTTCAAATTTGGTGTTTTATCTCTTTGTTTCATTTTGTATATATTATATTTCACTGCTGTTATTATCAAATTCAGAGCATGGTTTCTCTTTTAACAATATCTTAGAATGATATTTTTCTTTGAAAAGATAATATTTGACCCTGTTTTTTCGAATATCCAGTCTTGTATTTTCTTCCAAATAGTTTTTATGACTTTACAGTCACAAAATAGATGTAGAATTGATTCTTTCTCGGATTTGCAAAATGTGCATGTGTTGGAATCTTTATATTTCATTTTTGTTAGCAAATCATTTGTTGGCAGAAACCAATGCAGTATGCTGTATTGAAACCACGAGTGTTTTACACTATTATACGATTTAAAGGTTGTTTTTTCTATCGTTTTCCATATATTATCGTCAATAGACTCACTAAGGTTTTTTTGCCACTTGTTTCGATATGTTAAAGGTTTTCTAGATTTACCATTTATGAGTATGTCATAAATATCTCTACATCCTTTTGGGTTTCCTACTATATTTCGTAAAAGATATGGTAAGATCGGGGCTTGGAATTTTTCTTTAATATGGATGTTTATAGATTTGCAGTAGCATTTAATTGATTCCACTATTCCTTGACGCTCTAGGAAGTTAGTTTTGCACCCAAACGATTTTCTTAATTGTTCCACCGTTAAAAAGTTACCTTGGGCGTCAAACATGTCGTTTATATAAGTAATCCCTTTGCTTGAATAATGTTTATAATTGATTGGTTTTCCATCTATTTAAATATTGTCATTTAACCATAAGGGTTGGAATAAAATATCACATGCATTTTTTTGCTTTTTCTGCTTTTCTGGTTACGAATTTACCCCATGATTTCAAAGTGTCTTTCCAATTGATTTGTTTCTTGTGTTATTACTGATTCAAGTATGTGTGTTTTGCATGTTTGTATAAAGCTGCCGATGTCCGATTGTGTCTTCGTTTGTAGCAATTTCCTTACTTTTGAATCTGAGTTGGTGAGTCTTTTAATCCATGATATTTTTTGTGATTGAATAAGATTTTTTATCTCTGGAGCTCGTATTCCTCCGTATTTATGGTTCTTTGTGATAGTTTCTCGACTGACTTTGTCTGGTTTGTTTTTCCATATAAATTTAAAGCAGAGCTGCTCACTTTCCTTAATCATTTGATCGTTTGGGTTCTGTAGACTTACAAATAAATGATTAAGTTGCGGTAAAAGTAAACTTTTCAATATGGTATTTCTACCTAAGGGAGTTTGATCTCTTGCTAGCCATTGATTCATTGATAATTTGAGAGTCTTCAGTTTATCTTAATAGTTGCCTTCAACCATTTCTGCGATGTTGTGAGTAAATACAATTCCTAATAGTGTAAACGAGTCACTCTTCCAGTCTAAATTCCAGTTTTCGCAAAATTTTCTTTTAGAGTTTTTTTCTGAGCCTATTCATAATACCTGTGGTTTGTTTACATTTATTTTTAAGCCTGAAAATGAGGCATATTTACTAAGAATTTCTAATGTCGCCTGTAAACATTTTTCAGTGCCATCTAGTATCAGCGAAGTATCATCAGCGTATTGGGAAATTAGATATTCTGTATCTCCAATTTGTATTCCTTTTATTTTATTATTATTTCTAATCATTGTTGCCAAAATTTCTGCGCACAGTATAAAAATATAAGGGGAGATGGGATCTCCTTGTCTGCATCCTCTCGAGATATGGAAATAATTTGAAAGGAAACCATTTACAACACATGGTTGAATGTTATTAAAGAAGGTATTTATCCATCTAGTAATCGATGGTCAAAAGTTAAAGAATAGAAGAACTTTTGAAGTGAAATGCCAGTCAACAGAATCGAATGCCTTTTCAAAGTCAATAAGAAGTAGAATTCCTGGTATATTCATATATTCAGTATAGTCAATGATGTCATATATTAGGCGAGTACACTCACCAATATATCTTTTTGACATAAACCCTTTTTGATCCTCATTTATTATAGAGGGTAGGACTGTTTTTATTCTGTTTGCAATGGTTGATGATCCGATTTTATACGCTACATTCAGTAATGAAATGGGTCTCCAATTCTGAAGCAAATGTTTGGATTTACCTTTTTTGGGAAAACAGGTTATAATACCTTGCTTTTGAGTCAAAGACAATTCTCCTTTCTCGTAAGCTAAATTTAATTATCTTATAAGATACTCGTGAATATTGGACCCAAAAAAATTGAAGAATTCAACAGTGAAACCCGATGAGCCAGGACTTCTTTCATTTTTCATTTTTTTAAGACTGTTTAATACTTCTTCATATCTTAATTGTCCTTCTAGATTTTCTTGTTGATTTTTTTATAGCTTTGGGACGCCTATGTTGTTAAAGGTCACATGCAACGTAAAACCAAACTTTGCAGATTCTGATACCTTTCGGTATGGACTTACCGAAACAAAGCGTCAAAAATGCAAATTCAACTTATAAAGTTGAAAAATAATGCGATGAAAAAAAACGCGCGAAACCGGAGTTCAAACGTTTCACTAATTTTCCCCAGACTTTTCTGGGGAATACGGGTTTCAACAGCTGGCTGCGCTCATAGCACGTGCACAGTGAAATAGGTTCGCGCAACTTGGAAGCGGGTTGTCTGGTGAATACTCTGTGAAGGCTTTGGTGTAAGCTAGTTTCATAATGTTTTGTTGATATCTCACAGGCGCGAGCTTTTTGTATGTTATGACAGTAAATAAACTGTTTATATAATTTCATTTGTCTATTTCACCACACGTTCTAATTACCGAGTCACTTTCTCAGTTCGATACTTAAAAGCATTATTTAGAGTTGACACGATTTCTAACTGTGATATAGATATGTCGCTGTCACAGACAAAACTCAGTGTCTTGTTTTATTGACACCAGTGTGTCTGCCTGCCTGTCTGCTAATGACAATATTCAATACACAACTGCGATCACTGACCACATGCAATTTGAACTTAACACCAATCAGGCTATACACCATAAACAAAACGCATTGATTTATGGCCCGAGTTCGGTCTCTGTCACATTATGTAATTACACAGACAGGCAGGTGTGATACTTGAACACATGACATGTTATGATGTCTGTTGATTGCAAAATGTTATACACAAAAAATGAGCATGTATTTACAAAACCCAACTTTCTATATATACACACACAATGACCTGTGAAGGCGGCATCTGCTAATGAACCAGCCGTTACACTTGAGTGCACACCCACCGGCTCTGACTGGGTTCGGTATCCCGGCTGCTTCGTTTCGAGGGAGGTAAACCCAAGTACAAAATATTGCACTTTTGATTTGCGATTATACGCTTATAATTTTGTTTATTTGTTTTTTCATAATCAGCTATGCATATTATATGTCATGAAGAAGTGATAATTATGTATCAATTATGTTTGATTTTTTGGTTGCATGTGACCTTTAAGCAATTCTGTTAGGTTCACTTTTTGACATGGTTTTTTCGTGTATAGGTTATGGTAAAACGATTTAGTTTCAGTTATAAGATCTTCTTGTTTGGTTAGGGTTTCCTTTTGATTGTTTTCAAGTTTATATATTGCTTTGTTTAAAAAGTTGCGATTTTCTAGAGACAGAAAATATTTTGTCGGTTTTTCGCCTTCTTCTTTCCATTTAGCTTTAGATCGTAGTAGTATCCCTTCTGTTTCTTTTTTATTAATAGTCTCTAATTCTCTATTTGCTTCTTTTAATTTTGTTTGTTGATCAAGTGATACAAGTAAATACAAAATTGTTGGTATTTAGAGATTGTGTAGGGTCAAACTGTCTGTGGAACATCTATCAGTGACTCATCCTGAGAAAAATGTCCTGCAAAGTGATTAACGGATTTTTAAAAAGGTCACTTCACATTGTTTAGTTTCGCTCTTAATAAACCCCTGGGTATATATAATATCCACAAAATACAGTTAAAAACGGTAATTTTCCATTATACAGCTGGTATTAGGAATCTAAAACGCACCTCCCTCGAAAGCATTTCGCGATTACGCAAGGTAATGAGGTAGATGGTCACGTGGTCGCGTGACGTCAGACCCAAGAGTTGCTACATCAACACACGGAAAATACAGTGGTACCGAGCCTGTTCGCTTAAACTGAGGTCTGCATCTAGTTTAGCAAATAAATCAATCCACGAAGTCAAACCTGGGTTTGGATGGCATACTAGATACAGATAATACCACATACATGCAACCTTTTCAATTTGAAAGCATTTCTAGCCGCAAGACCGAGAGGAATATTGAGGACGATTACACCAGTTGACAACATACAGCCGTGGGACGATCCCGATCCCGACTATGACTATGTTTTGTTTAGACCTACTGCAGACTGGTATGAAAGTTACTTGCCTATGACATGTTAATACTGAATTATTTTTTCCGCGGTCACGGTAAAATTTGCAGTCATGATAACGGCAATGTACGTTCGATCAATTTGTTGAGCCTGTCTTCCGGTATACATCGGTATGGGAAGGTAAACACTGAAATAGTTACGTTCGAGGTTCATGATTTTATTAAGGTTATTAAGTAACTTTCAGCTATATTTCATACAATGCGTCTTCTGCTAAATTTATCAGTAAAGGTTTTAAGTA